TTTGACTTTAAAATTACTTAACTTCACTTAATCACTTAACTTCCCGTTAGTCGTCGATTTGCTCGAGCGGGCGCCAGTAACGTCTCCATTTGTCCCTGTCGCGTGCTAGTGTTGCCCAATGGCATCTGTTCGCTCTGGGAACATGAAGAGCCTCAAACCTATCGTTCATGATCTTGACGAAGAAGTCTGACCATCTGGTAGGTGGGCGGCCACACGGTCTTTTGACATCCTGTGGAATCCAGTCAGTAACAGCTCTAGTCCAGCGGTCGTCTTTAAATCTCATTACGTGAGCCCATCTGATTTTTGACGCCTTGGCAAATGAGACAGCGTCCCTGATTCTTGATCGTCGACGGATGTCAGAACTCCGGATTCTTTCTCTCATTTGAGTGAAACATGATATTCCAAGCATAGCTCTTTCTATTCTTCTTTGGGAGACCTGAATAGCGTTCTCATCCTGTTTGCGTAGGGCCCAGGTCTCTGAGGCATATGTTAATGCAGGAAGAACAGTGGAATCAAAGAGATGTGCCTGGAGCCAGAGGTTCTTCGTCCTCTTAGCTATTTCTTCGACGTTCTTGAAGGCGTTCCAAGCCGCTCTCTTCTTCCTGCGCAGCTCGGATGCCAGGTCATTTTTCATGTTGACTTCTCCACCTAGGTACACATAGCTGTTGCATTCGGAGATGGTCGTTCAGTTGAGAGTGAATGGGGCATCAGGAACGAGGCTGTTTCTCATGAACATTGTCTTCGTAAGATTCAGCTGTAGTCCTACCTTTCCACACTCACGGTCAAAGTCGGCCAGCATTTGTGACGCTTGGCTGATGTTTGGTGTTATTAAAACAATGTCATCAGCAAAGCGGAGGTGGTGTAGTTGCCGACCATCTATCTTCACTCCCATTCCTTCCCATTCTAGTCGTCGCATGATGTTCTCGAGGGTGGCACTGAAGAGTTTCGGTGAAATGGTATCACCCTGCCACACCCCTTCCTTGACATCAATGATCACTTCTTTGTAGAATGGTGAGATCCTGGTAGTGAATCCGCAATACAGCTCACGGAGGATCCTGATGTATTGGGCTTGAATGCCTTGATTGGCTAGGGCTTCAATGACCGCTTCCGTCTCAACAGAATCAAGGCCTTCTTTAAATCAATGAACGTTAAACAGAACGGCATCTTGAACTCCTGAGAAACCTCAATGAACTTGCTTATCGTGTGGATATGGTCAATGGTGCTGAATCCTTTGCGGAACCCGGCTTGCTCGCATGGTTGTCCTTCATCTAGTGTTCTGCCAATCCTATTTAGGATGACTCGAGTGAACAACTTGTAGATGACAGACAATAGGCAGATGGGGCGATAGTTGCCAATGTCATGGATGTCTCCCTTCTTGAACAGTAGTACGGTCCTGCTGGTTTTCCATTGGGACGGAACCTTGCATTCAGACAGGTAGCGTGTGAAGAGCCAAGCCAGTGTATTGAGTGCTGACGGCAGGTTCTTCAGGTGTTCAGGTCTGACCTTGTCTGGGCCGGGTGCTGTTGTTTCTTTACTGATGAAATGGTGTGTCAGATTTCGGAAGGGAGAACGTTGGGAACGACATATCCATCTTGTGGAATTTGGTATGTCGGCAAGTGGACATGGCTATCGAAGAGATTTGAGTAGAAGTCATGGATAATCTTCTCCATTGCCGTTCTGGAGGATGTGATGGATCCATCAGATCGTCGGAGGGCAGTCATCTTGGTCTTGTAGTTGGCGAAGGACAGGCGGGCGTTATGAATACTTTTCCCGGCTTCTGCCGCAACTACCAGTACTTCTGCTCTTCTCTCTTTGAGGTCTTCCTTGATCGCATCTCTGCACTGCTTTGTGAGCTCGGACATTCACTTGCGGTTGCCTGCGGCATGTGCCAAACCACGCTGGCGAATTAGCTCAAGAGTTTTCAAAGATAGGCGATTTTTTTGTGGCTATCTCTCTCTTGGCGTTCCTCACACATTCATGGAGGTGCTGAACCAGTCGATCGTATTTTCGTCAATGTTGTCAACAAAGGCATCTTCCCATGTTGCCGCAATAGTGCCAAAGAGTTCCCAGTTGGTGGTCGTTCTGGGAGTTCTCTTTTTGAACTTTGCAGCCCTTTCTCCCCACTCTGTGAAGTAGAATTTTGCACGAAGGAGACGGTGGTCCGATCCCGTTCGAAATTTTGGGACAACAGCGACATCGGTCAGGCAAAACCGTCGATTGAATATGATTTTTTTAAAATTACAAACTATCCTTTTGTTGTTGTAGTTGTAGGTTTTCCTAAAAGTCTTTCTTAAAGGCCTATGCAAGTTTGTTTTCTACAGAATACAAAACTGTCCTCGATTTTTCTGTGAAAATTGTGAAATGGCAGCTTTAATTTTTCTGTGAAATGGCAACTTTAATTTTTTCAGGTTCAGGCATCTCAGACCCAAGTTTCAGTCAATAACCCACCTATCTCCGTAACTTGTGATTCCTTTTTATCCACAGATGTTTCTGACAGGAAGTAGAAGAAATGGATCAGAGTGGGGTGGATCAGTTTCCTGCCCTACCAAAGCTCCAGGGCTAAAGCGATAGCACAGCGGGTAGGGTATTTGCCTTGCACGCAGCTGACCTGGGTTCGATTCCTCTGTTCCTCTCGGAGAGCCCAGCAGGTTACCAAGAGGGGGGTATACCGGGGATATTGGTGATGGGGAATGTGCACTGGTGGAGGAAGGGTGTTTGATCATTGTGTGATTGTAACCCAAACATGAATGCTTGTAACTATCTCACGGTGATTCAATAAAAATTTTTTTTTAAAAAAAAGTTTAGGATTGGCTAGCAGAAATAATCCTCTTGTATTTGGAGCCTTAAAATTTTGTCGATTGTCTTGTTGTTGGCCCTAATTGTGTTTGTTTTGGGATTGAGTGATATTGGTTTTATATGCGAATTATCTAAGGAAGAGGTTTAGCCTGTGGGTTCTAGATCACAAAAACTACTTAGTTTTTGTTTGCTTCTATAATTAATAAACAGATGCCATGCAGGATAATAAAAAATATAGCTTCAAAAAAAAAAGTATCCCACCTGCACAGTAGAGCCTGGCAAACTCCCCCTGGCATATTCGATATGCCAAAAACAGTAACAAGTCTCAGAATGGAGATGCTACTGGTGCCCACTCAAGCAAATTGATGAACAACAGGAGGACAGTGACAGAGACCAAAGCCCCAACTGCTGCCAGCTGCATGCTTCCAGTCAGACTTCACCACTTTCATAACTGAGCGCCACAGAGATACTAACTTGCTGAAAATTTCATGTACACAATTGGGGGGGGGGGGGCAGCTGAAATTTCCAGGCCTTCCTGGAGTAGCCATGGGTGACCTCCCCCAACCTCCCTGTACTTTCAGAAGTTCCCAGCAGCCACAGCCATGTCTCACTGCTGCCCATGTAAGTATATCTACCCACCCTGTTCCAGAGACTCAAAGCTAAATCTCAAAAGAGAGAAAGAACGAAAGGATGGAAGGAAGGAAGCAATCACTTCCCTGAGCACAGAGCCAGGGGTGAGCGCAGAGCATCACCAGGTGTGGTCCCAAAACAAAAACAAGAAGAAAAGAAAGAGATGGCTGTCTTTTAAAATAGTTTTCATCAGTCTCAGGAACATCAATCAATCCCAATAAGCAGGAACCCAAAAAAAAACAGAAAGAAATGGAGTATGTGACCCACTGCATACATGCAAAATAATCCTAGGAAATGATAGCACTCATTTTATCATGAGAACTTCTCTGTGATTTAAAAGCACATTTGTTTGCTATTAGAGAGAAAAGTGTAGAAACTCATTAGAGAAGAAAAGAAAGTCTCGGGTAAAGCCAATTTAAGTTGAGGATAAAGTCTGAAATGGGGAGGCGGGAATTTCCCTGCAGTTCAAGTCACTTGGGACCATGTTTGGGGTTGGACTACGATGAAGTCTTTTGAACAATGCTGAGAGTTTAATTAGCTAACCCAAGCCCCGATGGTGCACAGAGCAAATTCCCAGCCCAAAGTTTCCTCCCAATGTTTTATTTCTACATTTCTTACACATGGATACTCAAAGTTACATTTTGCTCCTTAAATCAAAATATCCAGCCCTGAAAATGCTTTGGGGTAAGGAGATGCTGAGAGGCACAGTCCATAAAATGGGATGCCGAGAGGACAAATGAGCACCCGTTTAGACAATGACCTTCCCCGTCCCCGCAACCTCGTACCACCCGCGAAACCCCCCTGGACTTTGACTGGACTCCTGGCACGAGTCTCCGGGAGTTGCACATTAACCACATTCCGGGCTCAGGAAGCCTTTTCTACTGAGCTCCAGTGGGTCTTTTTTTTTGGGGGGGGGGGGGGAAGAGGCGGGAGGGGGGGGTGAGGTCACATCCAGCGATGCACACCTGGCTCTGCACTCAGAGGACCATATGGGATGCTGGGAATCGAACCCGGGTCCACCGCGTGCAAGGCAAACACCCTACCCGCTGTGCTATCGCTCCAGCCCCAGAGCCCCATTAGGTTCTTTGCCTGGCGGCCAATTTGGCCTAAGAAACGTCTCCATCCAAAGGGCAGGAACTCTTTCCCCCCACACCCCGGACCCGAGACCCCGCCTGTCCCCACCAGTCCCTTTGTCACGCCGGGATTCAGCCAGCCGCCAGCTCTCGCGGACGCCCTCGGCTGCTCACACCGCCCACCCACGGGGGGAGGGACCCCCCGCGAGACTTGAAAGGCGACACACACCGGCCCCGCAACCTCCCAGCCGGGACTGCGGTCTCGGCGTTCCAGGGCGCGGGCCGGGCGTTCCCGCGCGGCTGCGGGCGGCTGCGCACGCGCGCCCACGCGCAGGGCCGGCCCCGACTCGGCCCCGGCCCGCCCCGCGCTCTCCTGGCCCGGCCGCGGAAAGGCCGCGCGCCTGCGCCGAGCCCCGCTCGCCGGCGCCGCCGCCCGTACTGGCAGGCGCTGCCCGTGCGTCCCGCCGCTCGCCTCGCCCGGCCCCCGGCCCCCGGCCCCCGGCCCCCGGCCCTCGGCCCCCGGCCCGGACGCCCTGGGCCTCCGGGAGCTGCAGCCGCTGAGCTGGGGAGAGGCTGTGCCGCTTCCAAGATGTCGCAGACGGCCATGTCCGAGACCTACGGTACGGTACGGGGCGCGGGCGCGGCCGCTGGGCGCGATCTGCTTGCCTAAGTTTTTTTTTTTTTTTTAGTTTTTTCTTTTCCCTGCTTTCCCCCCCACCCCTCTTCCACTCGCCTTTACACCCCAGGAATCTTTTTTTTTTAAATAAGTATCATTTCAGTAGTTACGGGGTTGGGGGACCCATTGGAAACTCAGTTTCTTGATGATTGCCAGCAGCGAGGGGATGTTGAAGGATTTAGAGCGCCGCCTGTATTTTTTGTGTGTTCCCCCCCCCCCGCCCCCACACACACACACCCCTCCACCCCCCAGTATTCCAGTTTGACCTTTTCGGGTCTGGAATTCCTTTCTTCGCACTGAGGTCACAATGAGTCGATAATGGATTCTTCAGAGACTGCTTACCTCATTTCAAATCTCAGGGGGGGGTTTAGCATTATTGTTGTTGTTGTTTGTTGTTGTTGTTGTTTTAGGTTGCATGTGTCTTTTTTCTTTAGTTTTTGGTCCACGCTCTACTTGTCCTCAGGGCTTACTCCTGGCTCTGTGCTCAGGGATCACTCTAGCAGGGCTGGGGGGGGGAGGGGCAAGAGTGCCGGGAATTGAACCCGAGGTGGTCTCATGCAAGGCAAGCGCCCCTACCCACTATCCTATCGTTACCGCCCTATAAATGTCTTTTAAAGATTGCAAACATAACGGCAGCAGAACCCGCTATCATTCATCTTTGCTTCCTCCCTGGCACTCACACGTGGGGGTACTCCATAAATATTATTCGGTCTTGATATTTAGGTGGTTTTTTTTTTTTGCCACACCCAGGGGTTTCCTCCTGGCACTGTGCTCAGGATGACTGCAGGCAGACCTAGAGGAATGGTATGTGGCGGTGGGCATGGGAGCTGCATAGGCCTTGTGCAAGGCAAATACACTGTCCTGTATACAAACTGCCTGATGGTCAACAAATATAGTTTGATTACACGAAAGCATTTTTAGTCGTGGATTTTATTTTTTGCTTTTGTTATTGTCTCATTGCATAGTGAAATTAAATGGTGTTACCAGGGGGGAGATGTTTGCCAATCTCTAATAGCTTTTCATGCATTCTTTAGCTGCGACTTTGGTTTGGAATTTTACATTTGCAGAGAGATCCAAGTTCAAAAGTATGTTTCTCAAGTCAAATCAGGCTTACCTATTCTTCCTGGCAGGCTGCTCCTTTCCCTCCATAAAGCCAATGTGTGGTATGGCTTTATGCAGCTAGCATGTGCTCAGAAGCACTGAATTCTGTCCGGAGCAAGCTGGGTCTGCTTTCATGGAGCTTAGATTTTGTCTGGAGAAGGTGTTAATCCAGTTATGACTCACAATAGTTAAAAACCCAGTTAGCGGCTGAAGTGCATACTTTGCGTTTTCCTGGAGGCCTGGGTTGAATCTCTAGTACCACTGGGTATGACCCCAAAACAAGACAAAACAAAAAACCAAGGCAGTGAAGCGCTTGCCTTGCCTGCAGCTGACCTGGGTTCTATAGCTGGCACCCGGTAGGGCCCCTCAGTGATCTCTGAGTGCAGAGCCAGTAGAAATCCCCAAGCACAGCTGAGTGTCCAAACCCAGGCTGAAGTTCTGTGCATTCTGTGAAAGGATGTGAGAGTGAAACCTGGCCCAAATTTCGGGGGACCAGGGAAACAATTGTTCCAACTCCTCATTTGAGGAGAGGGTAGAAAGGTTCTTTCTCTAGAGAGGGGTGAACCAAAGCGCCTTTGCTCCATCTTGTGTGACTGTCCATACTCTGTTCATAATCTTAGGTCGGTTCAGAAAAGTTTAGCAAGTCTTTAAAGGCTTCATTAGGATGAGAATTGCATGTGCTTCTTCCTTATTGTAAGGCTTTGTAAAGAAAATACGTTTTCCTGGTAGTTTTTGGTTGTGCTCTTGCTTTATTTTCAGATGTTCTTTACCCCATCTTTAATCTGCATCTGCATATGGGACATTAGGGAGGGTGGAAAGTCAAAAAAGAGATGCAAGTGGGATTATGAGGTAATGATACAGGACTGGAAAAGCTCGGTTGAGTATAAAGTGTTATATAAGCGTCTCCATTTCAGACACAGACTGTAATGCATCATAGATTAACTTGTTAAATTCTGATCATAAGGCTCTGCCCATTACTGTTTTTATGTTATGGAACCTTCCATATGTGTTCTTACTTTTTTTTAAACTCTTAGTCTATAGTTCTAATAAAGGAAAAGAGCACAGTTAAGTGTGGTCCCAAAACCAATTTTTCATTTCTTTAAAGATTAGAAGTGGAGTTGAAAAATGCCAGCCTAAAATAGAAGTCCCACAGAAACAAGTCTTCAACTGTCCCTTCCCTTTTCGTTCACCATATTTGCTTGCTAGTATTCCCCCAAAGTAAAATAATTCAGTCCCCTCCTTCTAGATATTTATCTCACAGACAGGGGAATGTTTACTTAGTCTCTAAACTTCATTATACAGTACTCATTTTCTCTCTTGCAAAGGAAGCTTTGTGTGATCTGGTAGGAGATTTAATAAAAACTAAAGAGCTGGTTATGTACTGCACTGTTACAGATGGTACTTTTAATGAACACTATCTGCTTTTTAGCAAACATTTCTCTTCTCACAAGACGTTCAACATTTTGCTGCTCTGAAACCACTGAGCAAGTACCATATACAATATCATAATACAAAATTAAAATCTTAAAGAAATAGATTTAAGATTGAAACCCTCAGTCTGAATTTCCCTAAGCTGAGTCAGTGTTTCCCAAATGTGGAAGGTGTCTTCTGTGAAACGGGGAGAAGAGTAACCTGCAGAAGGGGAATCAGTCACCTTTTTTTTTTTTTTTGCTTTTTGGGTCACACTTGGCGATGCACAGGGGTTACTCCTGGCTCTGCACTCAGGAGTTACTCCTGGCAGTGCTCAGGGGACTATATGGGATGCTGGGAATCAAACCCGGGTCAGCCGCGTGCAAGGCCAATGCCCTACCCACTGTGCTGTCTCTCCAGCCCCAGTCACCTTCCTCATTATCTACCATGTTTATTGGGGGAAGTTCCTGGGGAGGTCAGGACTGATGCAGTCAGCCACAAATGAGCACTTTGCAGTGGGTATGCATATGTCTCAACTGTTCCACTCAGATGTCATCAGACTGTGACTGAGTCCCTCTTTACAGAACAAGGAAATTAATCCCCACCACTTAATTCCCACCCCCTTTATTTAAACACCATGTTTCACAAAGTTGTTCATGATAATTTTTTTTACAGGCATTCGGTATTCCAATACCAATCCTGCCACCACTGTCACCTTCCCTCCACCATTTTCTCCTTTTTCCCAACCCCCCCCCTCAAGCCTGCCCCTGTAGCATGCCCACAGTATTCTTTGCGGGTAGGGCATTTGTCTTGCATGTCACCCACCCGGGTTCACTTCCTCCATCCCTTTCGGAGAGTCTGGCAAGCTACTGAGAGTATACCGCCCACACTACAGAGCCTGACAAGCTCCCCGTGGCATATTTGATATGCCAAAAACAGTGACAACAATGGAGATGTTACTGGTGCCTGTTCGAGCAAATCGATGAACAGTGACAGTGTTCAGTGTTCAGGACAGTGACAGGGCCATACCTGGCAGGGCTCAGGTGTTGCTCCTGATGTTGCTTGGGGGACCTTATGGAATGTGGAGATCTCTCGGAAAAAAAAAAAAGGAAAAAGAAACAGAGGAGACTGGAGTAATAGTATAGCAGTTGGGGTACTTGCCTTGCATGCAGCTGATTCCGATTTGATCCCTGTCACCCCATATGGCACCTTGAATCTGCTAAGAGTGACCAAAGCTAGGAGTAAGACTTGAGTATGGCTGGGTATGGTCCCCAAACAAACAAAACCTAGGAATAGACCATCCATACACTTCTTGGCATCTATCACCAAAACACCGAAACATTAATTCAAAAGGATATTTGCACAACTATGTTCATTGCCACACTTAGTACAGTATGAAGATATGGAAACAACCCAAATGCCCACTATGGGTGAATAAAGCAAGAAGCTGTGATATGCAATTCTAAGAAAGAAGAAAATTATGCAGTTTGCCAAATATTGATGGAACTTGAGGATATCATGCTGAGGTCAGCCAGTTAGAAGAAAATGGATAGATACAGAACGGTCTCACTTTATTGTGGGACTTAAGATAGACAGCAAGGGACTAGAGAGATGGTCCAGTCAGTCACTTGCCTTGCACACAACTGACCAGGTTTTAGTCCCTAGCTTCCCATATGGTCCCCCAAGTCCACCAGGAATGATTCCTGAGTGCAGAGTGAGGAGTAACCCCTGAGCACCACTGTGTATGGCCTAACAACAGCAACAACGAGATACACAGCAGGGTAGCAATAAAGCACAGTGGAAAAACTAATTGACACAACTGAATTGGGGAAGAATTGTGGAAAGGGAGGGGTGCTGGGGTACTTGGGGAAGAAAGGTGGGTACATTGGCAATGGGTGTGGTGTTGGAATTATGTGCATGAGAAATGATCATTAACAGTACTAGAAATTATAGAATCTCAAAAGTTAAAAAAAAAAAACAACAACTTTGCCTTACAAACAGAAGGTTTCAGATTCTGTCCCCAGCATCACCACAAGCATCACATGTAGCACTTGATTCTGACAGTTGTGCTTTCTGATTCCTGGTGCCACAAACTCTTAGCTACACTGAAGCCAGGTTACGTGTAAGCATCACAACAGAAGGAATGCAGTTTTCACCAGCTCTACCAAAAAAAAAAAAAAGAATGAGTGAACACCATGGCTAGGTTGAGTGACCCCTGGAGAGCACATTTGCAAGCTCCACAACCTGATGTACAGAGCCCTGGGAAGAACACACCCAAATGTGTGAGCCCCTTAAGGCCGACATGTGTGCACTCCCTGCTCATCATAATAATAGTAACTGAGGGTGAGGAAGGGAATAAAGAAAAGAAAACCCAGTATCCCTGTACTAATCCTTGTGTCAATTGGTTGGTCGGTCTGTCTCAGGGACTTCAGC